TTCTTCATTAGCCGCTTCTTCATTAGCCGCTTCTTCATTAGCCGCTTCTACATTTGCCGCGTCTACATTTGCCGTTTGTACATTTTCCGCTTGTTCGTTAGACGCCCCGTCCTGCACCAGGTCCAGCAACTCCTGGAAGTAAAAGGCATGGGGGAAGAGCCCAGCGCCTCTGAGTTGTCTGAAGTGTGAGAGGGACATGTTCTGCACCTGGTCGAACACGACGCGCTCGTCAAAGCAGTTGACAATTTCTCCCCCCGCATTTTCCCTCCTGTTATGATTCGAAGTCATGCAAAATATAAAGTGGCAAAAGGTATTCTCCTTCACCTTCATCAGTTCTACCAAGTTATTCCTTGCCATGGTAACAGCCATTTGATTCTTGGACTCATACTTACGCCGAAACAATTTCAAAGCAGACTGAATACTGTATCGTCTCTTCTCCTCCACGATGTCCCCACAGGGGTCATAATTGTAGTTGCAACAGAGTTGTTCTAAATAGGGGTTACCAGATTTCTTCATCAACTCAATAAAGTTATTCGTTAGTATGTGTATGTTCTGGTTGACAAGCTGCTCCGATGAGTAGCACACTTCACCACATGAGTGCACAATGACGAAGGAGGATGAGGAGGAGGAGCAGCAGGACTGCTGGCCATTATTCTCCCCAGGGAGAATCGAAGAAAAAGCCTCCTTTATGTACCCCCCACTAGAAAACTTCTTAACTATTAAAGAGTGCAAGTTGCTGTTCTCAGTGACTTTCTTCATGGACAAGGATTCGAGGTAGGAGAACAGCGACTCTTCCTCTTGCTGAACCAACACATTGTATAACCCTTCATTGTCTAGCCGTTCCAGGTTAAAGCAGGAGGAAGAGGAGGAGGATGCCGCTTCTATCCCCTCCTCCCTACACAACTGTATCCTCTTTTTGAATAAAAAATCCACCACCATATTACGCACCGCTTCATTGCTAGTGTTGACGAGTAATTGAGTGAGCGAATTTTGCTCTCCATTTTCAAAGTAGGCCAAATCAAGCACGTTTATATAATTCGCTTCAACATTTTCATGGTAGTAATGACCTCCTCCCCCAATCAGGTTTCCAAATTTGCAGTTGATCTTGTGTACAATCCAGTTAAACAATTCATCGTAGGTGGTTTTAATAAAGGCTTCTATTTTTTTCTGAATCTTCGTTTCGTTATGTACCTTCATAAGTAGAATGTCATGGAAGACGTAATTGGCGGTGAAGTATTTCACAAGTTGTTCCGGATCGATACCCAGCAACTTACTTGCTATGAGGAAGTTCTTTGCATTTTCATCCATTATTAAATCTTCATTTGAATCTTCTAAGAAATGTTGCAACTGCTCATAGTTGAGGGAACTTTCACACAGGATGCTCTTTCTTAATAAAGATTTCTGTCGGAGCGTTTTCACTGTCTCTACATTGCCCAGGAGTAACAATGCTGACAGGACAGAAAACACAAAATCGATTTCCTTGTCATCATCAAAAATGTAATTCATGGATTTTAGCAATTCAAGAAACTTGGCCGATTCATCTGTTGGGGTCTGTTTCGCGTTCACCGCGTCGCCGCTAACCGGCACGATCTGTCCATTCCCGAGCGAGCCCCTGGAGCGCAACATCTTATAATACGTCACATCCTTCAGGTAGTACATTTCCTTGAACTTGTCGCTTGACCCGTTTAGCACGTAGTAAAAAATGTTGAAGGAATTCTCTCCTTGGCGTTCGTGTTCGCCGCCCATCACCCTGTCCTTCTCGAACAGGAACTTCTTCACGTGCATGGACTTCACGCGCCCGTTCTCATCCATGTGCAGGGTGAAGAACTTGGATAACCTACTGGAGTTGTTGTTATTCGCCGTTTTGGCGCTCCCGAAGGCGTCCAGGAGGACGTTCATGTGGGTTATCATTTCGGCGACCTTCACCTGGTTTTGTTGGTTAGACTCGCTCGGTTCGTTGGGATGACTCGCCTCATCCGACTGGTTGTTCTCGTCCGCTTCGTTCCCTTCACTCTCGTCGCCCTGCGCGCTGGCTGTCCCCTCATGCGCCCCAGCGACATCCTGCTGCTCAGACGTCTCCTCACGAGGCCCCTCCACTTGGTAGGCCAGAAAGTATAAAATATTCTTCGTGATTTCACTCTTTCCCGAGCCAGACTCACCAGTCACGATAATGGACTGATTCCTTTTTAACATGCTCATATTTCGTAGCGCAGAAAGAGCAACGGTGTACTCATTCAGATTTCCCTCCGTCGGTGTGCTCGAAAATTTGTGCATGCGAATGGTTTCTTGATTGCAAAGGTTCAAATTCACATTAGGGTTTACAAATATGAGTAGCGGACCCATTTTTGTGTAAAATTTTTTGTTCTTAAATCTTTCGTGCAGAAGATGCAATAGCGCGGGGTCGTTAATATGTTTCAGTTTCATCATGTCATTTTGGTCTAAGGTAAAGAGATGGTTGGCTTTGTGTATGTTCTGCACTTTGCTCGTAAATATGCACCCATTGTAATCGCTGTGCTTGGATAACATGACCTCATCGTCATCATTCTTGTGAATTATGCGGCATAGAGTGAACAGAGTATTGTCCGCAACTTCCTCCGGGCTGGAGGCTTGATTTTCATACCACACGATGTCTCCCTCCTTGAAATTTGTGTCTTCTGCGCTCCTCATTCTTGGCGTGGTGCGCAGGAGTACAAAATTGAAGTCTTAGTTGGTTTATGCACACTGGGGTTTTATGGCTCCAGTGTGTGGAAAATTTGTGGAAAAAAAAAACACACACACGCACTGTGGCAAACCGCACCTAGCGCAAGGCGCAAAAACAGTTGTGAAGTGATTTACCCAATTTTTACATGTAGAAAAGGAGTGGAAAAAAAAAAAAAAATTCAACAAATCCACGATTGGTAGTGGAAGTCGCGCTTTTTTTTCGCTTTTGTTGCGTTTCGTTTAGTTTTGCTTTATTTTATTGTTTTTTTTTGTGTTTGCTTTATTATGCTTTTTTTTATTTTTTTTTTGTTTTATTTTTGTTTATATTTTTCCTTTTTTTTTCTTTTTCATTTTTTTCATCTTTTGGTTTTAATGTATAGACTATAAAGTTGCGACATCAGGTTGTTTCGTGAAAGGTGTAAGGAGAAAACATTTCTGGAGAAAAATTTGTACGCAATGGTATGAACATGTGCGGAAATGCGTGTAACTGTATGTAGATATATGTTACACACTTGAGTACACACAGTAATGAAAGAAAAGTGTACCGGCACACGTAAAACGGATCCAACCCCAGTACACACACGCAACTGACCGAGCAGGAACTCAGTGTGTGTGAGGAGGAAACATTTTAATGTATTGATGATGTTGTTTCCAAATGTGTGAACATAGACAGAGGTACGACAGCGATTATATATATAGCAACTTCTTTGTAAATGTTTTCGCAGGGCGTTTTTCTATATAAAGCACGTTGAGCGTTTTCCCCTAATAATAACGAGTTTTCCGTGGGGAGCGTTGTAGGTTAATAGGTTAACATGTTTAATGGGTTGTTTATCCGTTCGTTTGTTCATCAGTTGTTCTCTTTTTTTTTTTTTTTTTTTTTTTTTTTTTGTCCACGTAACTAGCCGTTTTGCGGTTTTAGCTAGCTAGAAAAAAAAAAAAAAAATTGATCTAAAGAGGTGATAAAAAAAAGGAATGGTTCCTTTCTGAATAATATTTTTTTCAGCGGGTAGAGAGTGTATAAATAGGTTTTTCGATTTTTCGCAGCATAAATCTAGTCCCACTGAGGGGGGACAAACACACAAACTATGCCCCTTTCACTACAAGGGGCATAAAACTGGAGGGGGAAAAGTACACACGGGCGGACAGGCGGATGGTGCACAAAATGAACACCGTCAGATAATTTCCACGACCCAAGGAGAGAGAAATTAAAAAAAAAAAAAAAAAAAAAAAATCCAAAGCACGGATTGCAAACAAGTACAGACGCGCTTAACGCACGCACGTAGAAAAAAAAAAAAATGCCCTACGTGGAGAACGCCGCCAACCACGTGTGCTCATTTGAAAGCACCTCGAACGACATGTTCACCGCAGCGGCTAATTTGAGAAGTTTTCCCTCTTCCCCTGCGTCCACCGATGCTGCTCCCTCCCCCACAATTTGGGTTAAAAACTGGGGCCACTCCTGCTTCATCTTCTGCTGCACCATTAAAAAATATGAGAGCAAAATGGCAAAGCGGTTCCCTGCCTCACTGTCCACGTGGATATTCTTCAACGCGACATTGATTAAATTGTTATTACTGAACTGTATGGAAGCGCCGCGCGCGTCACAGCGCAGCGTCTCCCAGCCGCTTTGTTCCCTGTTCGTGATTAGAACAAAATTGTTCATGTGGAAAAATTCAGGTGCCAAAAATTTTCGGAATAGGGTTAAGAAATCCTCGCCTATAAGAATGAAGACCCCGTTTGCAATTTTTTTATTTTGCTGAATCCACTTGCTGACATATGGGTCGTGCGGAATGTGCATTTTTTTCCCTTCACCGTGGAGGCCGCAACCTTCCCCCCCCGCTTCGATTGCTTCTGTCGCTACACCCGTGCGCCTCGAACAGAATAGGAAAAAATTGCCCCCCGCAGCGGAAGTGCACACAGCGGAATCGCACACAATGGGTTGATTCAATTGCACAAATTTCAAATCAAGATTATTTTCAAACAAGTGGAGTACGTTTTTTTTAACGTCCACATTTGTAGCTAATCGAAAAGTGTCCCCTTTTGCCGCCTCTCTCTGTGGTGTCTCCGCGGGTGGTCCCCAAATCAAGCTAGTGTGCACCCCTTTCATGTCGCGCTCTAAGTTGGTCCAAAAAAAATGACGCAACAAGCCCATGCACAAATTCACAAATGCATCATTGTAACCCTTTTTATGTTTATCTATTACAAACCTTAACCTGAGTGAATTGAAAAAGGAGTTGCATTTCTCTCCAATGATATTTGACACAACTGCAACCCCTGCACAGGAGTCATAAAAATGGGTCATAGTTTCCTCAATGTTGTTAGTATTAATGCCTCCAATGAGTATAATAGGTGGAGCCTCTGAATCTAAAATTGGCTTATAAATTTTCCCTCTCTCTTGAAGATGTTTTATCCTACACAGTAGATTGCGTATTTGTTCCTTTATCCCCTCGTGATGCGAAGCTGCAATTTTCTTCGTCGTGGATTCATATAATGTGTGTTCATGCGCTATGTAATCTACACGGCTGTTCAGGGCCATCTGAATGTCCTCATCATTGCTAAAATTTATGGTTGCCCCGATTATTTTTTCTCCTCCTAAAATGTCTCTTGCCACTTTGATGGGGAGGTCTGTTCTACCCACATGCACTCCATCAGCATCTACACCTACACAGATATCCAGTCTATTGTTTATTATTAGTGGGACTTTGTATTTACGTAGGAGTTGCTTCATGCTTACGGCTGTGTTGTAGAAATATCTGTCCTCTGCCTTCTTCAGTCGAAGCTGCACCAACCCCACTCCCCCAAGAACTCCTTCCCGCACCTTCCCAAGCAGCGTGCTGCACACATTCTGCTTATCGGTAAAGAATTTGTCGTCCGTCACGAGGTACAGGGAGTAGTCCACAAGTCTCCCCGGCAAACTGCACCGCGTGGAGAAGCAGCGACAGGGGGGGAACCGCGCGACGCGGCGGAGGTGACTCAGGTTGGGCAAGCCTAGCAACCTAGGCCAACTAAATTCCTGCCTCATTTTTTTGCATCCCTTTTTTTGTATAAGTCCCTCCCCTCCAGTTGCTCTCTCTGAACGAGGGGGCGCGCACATGTCCGATCACGTTAATGTAAAAAAGGGGAGTTGTTCCCCTTCCGCTGCACTGGCATGAACAAGCGGGTATGTTGGCAGCGGCTACTGATGAACAGCAGTGCGCTATTCCATGTCCTCACTTTTGTACCGGGTTGGCGCTCGCAGTGGAGGATGCATGTAGGTAAAGTGGGGTCCCCACTTTTTTTTTTTTTGTGGACGTTCACAAGTGTGGTGAATGCCTTGTAGAGGGACAACCACGAGGTGCATCGATTGTAGCTTTGCCCCTTCTCGTGAAAGCCTGATATCACCCCAGTTTTATCCTTACCTTTTTTTTTTTTTTTTTCGGACGGGGCAGCGCTCGCTAAAGAGGCGGCGCAGTCGGTACAAAAGGAAATGTGTAGCGAAATGCTTGACTATAATAGCCGCTTCAAATCTGCCGCGGCCGCATCAGGGCCCACGTTGCCGCCGAGCACACGTCGCTCCGCGGAGCAGTTGCGCTTAATATTGCTGATGGTAATTTTCTTCAAGGCGCCGTTGGTGTGAATCAAAGCCCGATGGGAATGCTCATATATGGCCTGGTGTAACTCATACTTTTGAGTAAGTTGGTTGGTGATCTGTTCCCTCTCCTCGTAAAATTTCTTCTCCCTACCTTTGATGGAGTTGTACCTGTTTATCAGCTGAGTCTGTTTCTCTAGTAGCTCTTTCTTTTTAAGAGCCAACTTCTCTTCGTACAATTTCATATCCTTAATGGAAAAGTCGAAAGGTAATGAGTGGACATTCTTCTCCTTCAAAGATTCATACATTGCATTAGCTTCTCGGATGCTCACATCTTGTGTGCGTCTGTCGTGTAGAAGGTTTACTTTGTCCTGTTCCACTTGATCAAAGTAGCTACTCGCGCAGTTTACCATCTTCCCTAGGGTTACGAAAAGCTCTTTAAAGAGGACCTGTTTCAACTTTACCATTTTGGTGTCGTTATTCATATGCATCACATGGTTAAGTAGTTGTTGCCGCAACGGTATGGACATGAGGGATACGAGATTAGGGTCCACCTTGCGAAGTATTTTGTTCAGCTCCTCCCTCTGGTAGTACGGACTCAATTGTATAAAATACCTTTCTTTGTGCTCATCCAGGTAGTTTTCCTTCACATACCGATAAGACTGCATTATGCTGTGCAGACTGCGTACAGGGTCCACTGGGTTCACCTCATCTATGGGCAGTAAGTTTTTTATTCTTTGTAAGTAACCCATTTGTTTATCATTTTTGTGAACAATTCTGAATGGAGAGCCCTTCACATGCAATCCGTTTAGCGTTACGTTTATTTGTTTGTAGGGGATTGGACCTTTCTCTTCATCTGTTGCCATTTTTGACCTTATGTAGGAGTATATAACTTCATACGAGCCATTTTGCAGGTCGTTGACCCTAACGATTTTAACCCCTCCGAGGGCGTTCGCCTCAAAGGAGTCGCCTCCTTCTGAGATGGCATTCCCGTAGGCGTCGTAACTTTGGATGAAGAAATTATCATACTGCTTGTGCGTCTCATCGTGCCTTCCATCGTCGCATTTGAAAATGTGCATGGGGGGGTCTTCTCCATCTTCTTCTTCACCTACTTGTTCATCGTGTCCGCCCATGCGGCGCTGTCGCTCGCCGTCGGACAGGAGCCCCTCCGAGGAGGAAGAGCCGCTGCTACGCTCTTCCCATTCACAAAAATCGGAGTGGGCTAATTCAAACGAGTTTGCACATAGGGAATCGTTATAGATTTGGTTGAACCCTTGACCTGTGGGTAATAATTTCCGTTCTTTTCCCCCTTCCACCCTTTTGATCTTCGGGAAGACCATCCCACCGCTCACCCTTTTGTACACCACACAGTTGGGGGCGTACGCCACGTTCGGCTTTATGCAAATGAGGTACGGGGAATTCGCAACGATTTTTTTTTTGAACAATAGGGACAAGTAGTAGTAGCCGCACCTGCCCAAGTTATACGTCACAACGTAGGTCCCATTTTTTAAATCCCTAATGTTACACTTAAAACTATTTTGTATCAATTTCATGTTTTCACTGTCGTACGTTTCGGATTCGAATATGTATCCTTCTCTTATTGTTTGATTTTGTGCGTTGTTTGAATGAGCAGAGGATTCTTCTGTGAAAGTGTTTTCCCCCCTCTGATCCCTACCGCTACGCACAGGTGAACGACAAGAAGAACCACTTTTCCACTTCCCCCCTTCAGTAACACCAACAATATGGTGTTCACCCCTTTTTGTGTCTCCCCAAAGACACGCTTCCCTCTCTTCACATCCCACATGCTTGTAATTTGCAAAGTTAGCATTAATATTATACCTATTGTGATCTGAATTGATTATCGTCTGATGTTTTTCTATTTGGAATTGATTGTACAAATTGTTTCGTATGTACAAGTCGCATCGGTTGTCTTCTTGTATGTACTCCCTTTGGTAATTCAGTTGGTCCACCTGTTCCCTTTGCTTCACATACGCTTCAAATGTGTAGTTCTGCACGTAAATACATTCCCCTGTTTTGCTAACCGTCTCGATTACCACTTCGTTCAGTACGCCTGCTGTGCCTTCGTACAAATTTCCTCCCTTCACCTTACACGCCACAGGGTCTATTTCTTCGTTAGACACAGGGGTGAATTCAATATCTTTTTTTTCTTTCCTCATAGTGGGAGATGCTTTCAATCCATTTGGCATTCCTCCTGTGTGGAAACTGTCCCAATCATTTGTAAGGTCGTCTGCTCCACACTCGCTCATCACCTGCTCGATGTATTTGTGGCCAATCTGCTTTGATCTGTTCAGGTACTTTTTGTTGACTTCCTTCTCTGCGTGCCGCTCGCGCACTTTGTTTTTGCTCCTGTGTTTCTTCGCGGGGTCGCACTTGAGCATGTCGTTCAGCATACGCAGGGGGGTGGCATCCTTCATGTGGTTAGCGGCCTCCATACGGTTAGCGGCCTTCATGCGGTTAGAAGCCTTCATGGGGGTGCGGACACTCTGCTGTTGCCCACCTGGGCGAACCGCTTGAGAACAATTCGAGTAAGACAAAAAAAAAAAAAAAATCGTACGTTTTATAGTGTCGTAGAGAGGGCTAAAATGGGGCCTGTCGAACAAAAGGGCATTTCCCTTCAACACGGAGTCGCTACCGTTGCGTTTACTATCTCGGTTGGTGTACACATCGAACGGGGGCTCCCTTCCGCGCTAGCCTTTGCCTCAAAGTGGGGAAAACTTGCACACAGACAGGCGCGCCAAGTTGTCCAGGGAAAAATACACTGACGCGCGCACACTTTGCGGCAGTTTTTAAACCTCATTTGAGGGATACGTTAACAGCATGGTTGTCACATTAGTTTTCAAAAATTGCAAAGTTGTAACGGCTAAAAGGTGAAGCCGCACCGGATGCATGCACAAAAAAAAAAAAAAAAAAAAAAATTGCGCTATTTAATTCGTCTATTTGAACAAATCCGTATGAACGGGTCAGGCAAAATGTTACAAAACTGAAAAAAAAAAAAAAAATAGCAAAAAAAAAAAAGAAAAAAAGAAATATCCCTATGAAGAACACCCCCTCCCCTTTTAAACAAGGTTAAGTCTCGTACGTTTTGAATGAACCTTCCCTTTTGCGACTTCACAATTTTACGATGTTAACAGACGTTTGTGGGCGTCTGCCGCATAAGCAAATGCGTGCATATGGGAATACACTCGAAAAGGGCGTACGTACACGTACGCATGAACAAGCGGCATCACTCCTGGGGTGTAAAAAAAAAGTATCCCCTATATTTGCAAACAAACGAAAATTCTCAATGGGACGGAAAAGCGTACCGCCCGGAAAAGGCAGTCTGGCAGGGGGACATTGTATACTCTTGTTCTGTTCTTTTTTTTTTATTCGAGGGTTGCTGTGTCTGCACTCACCAATTGATAATGTCTGCCTTCTTCTTGGAAGAAAAGGAAGTCTTAAGAATGTGGAAAGTTTCCGTGTTGAAAAAATTGCTGATGTTTTTTAAAAACGATTCGACACTTATATCCCTATCGCATTTGCTCGAATTGACATACACCGTGAGTTGGTCACTATGCATGGTGTCATACAATTTTTGAAACAATTTTTCTGTGTTCACTTTTTTCTGATTAAACAGTTCGTAACCATTTTGTACTTCCCCTTGGTTAATCGATGAGGCTTCTACATCTTGCACGTGATGATCACACCGTGTGTGCTTTTCGCAGGCACAGATAATGCCTCCTGTTTCGTCTTCCGCTTGTCCTCCACCCCCCTGCGCATCGTTATGTTCATTTGAACGGAGGAAGTCAAAATTTTTAATAACCTCCTGCTGCGCGATTTTTTTTAAAATGCGAGAGTTGTAGCATAGGCAGGAGGTGCGCCTATGGACACGTTCCGAAAAAATGTTCTGGGCGCATCCGAAGAGGCACCCCTTTTCGCATGCCATCAATTCAATGTAGTCGATTCTTCCTGTGAAATGTAGATTGTATGTAATTTGTACGTGGTATTTTGTTGCCCCACTGGGGGGGTTGGGTGGTGCACTTCTCCGTGGTGCGCTCACCCCTTTGCCTTCCTTCACCTTCCGGATAACACTATACATACTCTTAAAGCCGTATGACAGGATCACCCTGAAAACACAGTGGTCTCCTTCCAACAGGGATAAGACCACTATGTCGTGATACTTGAAATCGAACTCCTTCTCGTGCACCTCAAAATTGAACACTTCTCTGCACACATATTTGAACATTTCTTCTCCGTAGCCCATGGAAATGTTATTTATGTTGCTGCACCGGAGTGTGTACTGGGAGAGCTGCTCGTAAAGTTCGCGCAGTTCGCTCACTCCGTGCAGTTGATGCAGGTTGCGGGTGGCAGTTCGTTCGGCGTTTGTCGTGGACGGCGTCTCCCCCGCGATAGCTTTGTCGGGAACCCTTTTCGTCTTATCTTGCTGCAACCCTTTCATGGTGCCCCGCAAAAGGTCGTACACACTATCAACAGGCATCTCTGGCAGCGACACAAAATCAATTTCCGTGTCGTTTATCAGCTCGACTAGCTCCACCGTGGTTAGTACAGCATCGACGCAATGGAAGTTCTTCTTCTCCTGTTGGTCTGCGCTGGCCGTGTCCCTCATCGGGTCGAACGTCCGTGGGGAGACATAAGAGAGGTAAGAGAGCATGTTCTCATTTAGGGAATTCTGTTGGGGAAGGTTACTTCTGTGTGCCTCTAATTTTTTGTCAAAGCAGTACAGCAGGTAAACATGGTTGATGTCGTAGATGGTTGGGGCGTTGACAGGCACGCCTCCGCTTCCATCACTTCCACCACTTCCACCACTTCCATCACTTCCATCACTTGCACCCCTTCCGCTGCTAACTGCACCCGACTGCAACAGACCGTGGTGTCTGCGATAGTGCTTCCTGCAAACGGCCCAAAATTGTGACTCGTAGTTGCAGGACCAATTGAAAAAGTTGCTCTGCGGGGGGAGGCTTTTCAACAGGGGAAGAGTCACATTTATGCTTCTCTGGAGGTGCAGAATTTTTAAAATAATTCCCTGTATGTCCTGACTGGACTTTACCTTACTAAATGCCTTTAGCTGTGCTTCATCGAAATTTTTCTCCCCATATATAACGGTGCCACTGCAATGAGAGCAAATCAGGGGAAGGGAGACATTTCCTTCCTCACATGTGGAGATGGAGGGATGGTTGGTGTTGCTTTTGGTGAGGTTACTCCCATTTGTAAATACCTTCTCAGGGTTACTACCCTTTGCATCATTTTTACTTGCCCGCTTGGACTTCAGGCGGTGGTTCCTTTTACTCTTCAAGGTATCGTCGCCATTACTTGGGTAGTGGTCGCTCTGTTGGCCTGTCCTTGTGGCCTCCCCAAAGTGGTGCATAAATTCGCGCTTGCTCTCATTCAGAGCTATCAACTCGCTGAGGGAAGACTCATACACAAAATCAAATCCCAGCGACTTCAACAGAAAGCATAACTTCTTCTGTGTCCTCGGAATGGACAAATTATAATGCACGGACAAGGCTGTGATGCTTTGCAAAGACAACGAAATGATGTTAATTTTTTTTTTTCTAATTTCGTTTAAAATTTCAACTGCATTTTGGTTTTTAAGAAAATTTGTTTCTTCGTTTGTAACGCAGCCACTACAGGCTAAGCAGTCAGTTAGTGATATTTCTCCTCTCTCTTTTTTTTTTTTTTCTTTATTCTTCTTGTTTATGTTAATTAAGTTTGGCTTGCTCAGATCGTCCTCATTCACAAGTTGCGAATTGTACAGAAAGGGCTTTATGCATTCCTCCCCCTCGTTGTAGTAGTCGTTCAGATTTTCTAGCTTGATCGCGTTGGAAAACATTTTTTTTTTTTTTTTTCAGCGAGTATATTTTGTGGAGGTTTGTGTATTCGTGTTACGTTGTGCGGTGTGTGTATGGATTATCACTATTCGGGGTGTCTTCCCCATTATGTTTTAGGGCATTTCGTCATCACTTCGTTTTCACCCGTTTTACCGTTGCATCTGTTCCACGCGTTGCATCCCACGTCTGGCGTTCCCATGCGTGCCTTTTTTGCTCTTCATCGCTGCTTCGCCTCCAAGCATACGCGTACAACAGGTGGTACATATAATTCATATGCGTACAAGCAACTGGGGTGGGCTTCTTTCTTTTCGGTTTGGCCAAATCACGCTCCAGGGAAAACACCACAAAAGCCTGCGCTTTCTCCTCCCCTGTGCCCTATATTCAAATTAAAAGCAACGTCGGCATTGAGCTGGACCCTTGCTGCGGAACCCACTTCGAGTTTGCGCCACGCGGGGTGCCCACGCCAAAAAGGGAAAAGGTAGCAAAAATGGAAGAAGTAGCAACAAGAAAGAAGTAGAAAAAACAAGCCCACATGGAACCAACAAAAAAAAAGCGACGAAGGAGGAGCAACAACGAGATGGCAATTTTGAACTTGTAAACTCCCGCTGCGCAATTCGCCTGAAGGGGCAGCTTCTTATTTTTCGCGCAACAACATTTGGGGTTACATACGTTGAAGAAAAAAAAAAAAAAAAAAAAAACCGAATTGGCAGGAAGAGCTAACTTAAGATTGAGCCGAATATATGCCGTCAAAATTTTTAAAATTGGCTTTAAAACGTGGCCTAAATTAATTTTTAAAAAACTAAAAAAATTGTTAAATCACACACAATGTGGGGGGAGGGGCAGAGAAAAAAAAAAAAAAAAAAAAAAAAAAAAAAAAAAAAAACGAGGCAAAAAAATATGCTCGTAAAAAATATGTGTGGCAGTTAAACATGCGAACATAAATCTAAAGTCATGTATGCGACATGGCTAAAGGTGCGCGCATATCCATATGCGGTCAAACACACACACGGAGAGAGAGAGTGGGAGAGTGGCCCACATGAGCGTATCCACACGCCGGTACACGCATATTAACAGAACAGGCACGCACAACAGGGGGATGGGGGGCACAGGCGCACAGCATAACCAACCTGACATAAGACAATGGACAGGAAAAAAAAAAAAAAAAAAAAAAAGGATCATACGCACATAGTGAATTCAACAGGGTGGAAAAAACACAGACACAATTTTAAAGAGGCGTAAGCGGTGATGCGGTAATGGCAAAAAGAAGTGACGGAGATGTAGCAACGGTTTTAAAGTATAGCGGTCATGTAGGTGTGCGTGTGTGGGGGGATGAAGCACGTGCGCACGCGCGCAGCAACCGCCATCTGCTAAGAATTGAGAAAAAAAAAAAAAATAAAAACAGGGAACATCGGATTGAAATAACAAAAATGATTATTTAAATTCAAAATTTAAAGAGGGGACAAGGCAAAGGCGGCACACGGAGGAAGGGAAAAAACGGGGCTATCAACAATCCGTTCGTCTTGCCATCCGTCTGCCGATCGATTCATCATTTTCTGCGTCCGTTTGGTCTGTCCCAATTTTCCTATGTCCTCTATTTCCTGTCCACGCGCGCGCAATGTGCTTTGTAAAAAACGTCGCATGTTTTGAGGATACCACCTCTCCCTCCCTTCAGTCCGGCTTATCATCGCGATCTCTCTGCATCACGCCTTATTGTTTTGCTTATTTTGGTATCTCGTAATTTTCTTCTTCGCGTATACGTTCAGAAGAAAGCTGGCAATCGCCATGATGAGGGACTTGGAGCAGATGACAAAAAGAGTCACTCGCAGGCCTCTACTTTGTTGGTAACAGCGCTCGCTTAGTTCTCCCTGTGGGGTAGGTGAGACGGGGCGACAAATAAATGACATGAGCGGATATTCCCATCGAGGGATAGCCACATAAAAAGTACACAAATATAGGCAATATTATATATAACACACACACACACATGTGCCACTCTGCATACGCAGCAGCGTTTTACTTACATTTCTCGTGACGACGCAATCCGGAGAAAGGGTTCCCTTAATCTTTCCGATGATGATGGTCCAGGGGATGTCTCTATTGAGGGGGGGAAAAAGCGGCAAAAAAAAAAAAAAAGGTTATTAAAAACAATGTGGACAGGAAAAAAAAAAAAACACACAAAAAAAAAAAAGAAGCTACACTCGTTGATAATGATTACTACACACATATGTGCTCTTTTGCTTACCCAAGCAGATGTGCAATGAAGGAGGACAATCCTATGGAAAAGGCGCGAATGTTTTGAGGCACGCACACCATGATTCCGATGTTGTGGCCAGGCTGCATTGAGAGGGGGGGGGGGGAAGAAATGGTAACGAGTGAGGTGTGGTGCGATGACACAATGGGTGAGGCGGCGACAAGGTGGTGACAAAATGAACATGCATGGAATGCCAAGCGTCGCTCCCCGCTCCTTTGTTAGGCCACAGCAGCCAACGCGTCACTAGCGCAAAACGAACCATTGCGGAGAACAGAAAGGTCAGTCCGAGGGTCATGACGATGGTGAACAAATACGTGTCCGTAATAAAAGGAATCAACATAAGGAGTGCACCGGCAATGACCAAAATGATGAAAGTCTGTATACCAATAATTCGAAGGTACTGATACACCATAACATCCTTGCTATATATTTTTATTTTTTTTTCATTACTATTTATATGTTCATAATTTTTGTCCACGTTCTGTATGTTCAGATTGTAAAAGTCCATAAGGAATCCTCCAAAGCAGGTACCAACGATGGACGAGAGACAAGCACAGAGACTACAAAACACCGTGGCAGCTTTATATGACGGGAATATCTTTAAGGCATAGAGGATGGGTGCACCATAAACCAAATAAGATTGAACCATGTCTGTATGTGCAGTCAGTGCAGTGACTAATATGAGAAAGCTAATATTTGTTAAGGTTGTATTAACAAGGAGACCCAAATTTAGGTGTTCATTATTTTTTTCATCATCCATAGATTCTATACAATTGTCTAGCTCAATTTCTAGGTACTTATTGTCCTTCTTTGCTTTGCCATTTGTCTCCTGAGCCGTATTCATACAAGCTTCTTCCTCATTTCCAAAGGACTTTAACATATACATTTTATCCAAGTTATTATTTATATAACTGTTGTTGCTAATACATTGTTGTTCTTCATCTTCGTTTGCTTCTAAATCAATTTGTCCCATGTAAGCATTATTATTTATGTCGCTATAATTTTTCCTTGTAGAATTAAAGGACCTGGTTTTGTTAAAGCTGGCTCCTTCACTTGATTGGTGTACCATTTCATCATATAGTCCTGAGCTGCTGTTCGTACCCCTTCGCTTGATGTCCATCCCTTCATCGAACGACTTGCTGTTGCCGCCAATCGCCCTATCTGCCTTCCTCGCAAAATCGGGGCTGCTCTGCGCGACGGCACCGGCAGCGGAAGCGGCACCAACACCTTGCGTGTGTCCACTCTGACTTTTACCACTCGCAGGTCGAGGTTGTCCGGCGGGGGTACTAGTTGCAGAGGTGGTACCAGATTTGCTCGACTGGGTGGAGTTCATGGTTGAATTGGTTGCCGAGTTGGCTGCTGAATTTGCAGCCGCGTTTGCACCACCCGATGAAGCACCTGCTCCCTTAACGAATTTTCCCTGGTTCTTGTCCTCCAGTTGTAAATCCTTGGCAGCACCATCTGCTTGTGCCTGTTCCTTTTCCCTCAACTGTTGCTCCTTCTTGCTCTTCTTGTCTTCATACTTTTTTAATAAATCTTCATCAAACAAGTAGAAGCAAAGGAAGAAAAGCATGAAAACGACTCCTGAACCAATGAAGTACTGTGCTAAGCTGATTTTAAACATAGGTAGTAAAACGGCCAGCAAGTAACCAATACAACCTCCTAGAGGAAACATGGTTATAAAAATACTAATCCATGAGCCAGCCCGATCTTTCGAGTAGGAATAAATCAGAGGAGGGATAATGGTAATGAAAGCAGCTTCACTGAACCCACAAAAAAATCTGCTAAACATTAAAGAGTAGTACGAACCAATAATAAATGAAAAACCAGTCATCAGTAAGGCCAACGAATTTTGAAACAAAAAAACATCTGTTATCCTGAACACACTATACGTTGAAGCAAGGGACCCACTCAGGATGGAGCTTATGCTTAGTCCGAAAACAAAAACAGATGTCAGGAACCCTATGTGTACATCTACATTTGTCGTTGCATATTTCTCCTTCAGGTATAACGCTAAAAAATCATATGAGCCCGGAATTATTCCTCTGTTCACATAGATGGCAAAATGAATTATCGTTAGGATGGTGTATATAAAATAAAATTTGTTTACTTTTAATTTCAGTCTGGCTAAATAAACTCCAAGGCCTGAAATGCAACTCAATTTTGTTAGCACTTCGTTGTCGATACTAGACAAATATTCCTTCACTGCTTCATCATCATCATTTTGTGTCTTCGTCTTCAAGGCTCCTAAATTCTTTCCGCTCATCTCTGCGCCCTTGGCGCTCTTGGCGAGGTTGGTAACGGCTTCATCTTTTTCTGGCGCTTTCATTTTTCATTTTACTTGCTGGGCTACTGGGGAGCTTTAATACAAGAACGTGTGTAGCAACGGCTTCAAAATGGGCACGCGGCCACGGCTTAAAAGGGGTAGGCGGCCACGGCTTAAAAGGGGTAGGCGGCCACGGCTTAAAAGGGGTAGGCGGCCACGGCTTAAAAGGGGTA